AAATTGAATAAAATATAATTAGCACATTGTAAGTAATGCTTGTCTTTCAAATAAGCGCACCAACTGACAAGATCGAACAAAGATTGATTGTTCTGGTGAGATTAAATTGAAAGTAATATGAAATTCGAAAAAAAAAATTTTTAAATATCTCGACTCTCAAGAATCGAATCTCGAACTACGATATATTTACAAACATCATTTAGCTATAAGGTCATATTATAAATTATAGTATATTAATTCGTTAATAATAAATTAAATCATGTTTATTTAATTTATTTGATAACAGTTGTTTTGAAAAACAACAAAACACATATTCTCCTTGAAAAATTACTTGAGAAAAGTATGAATTAATGTTCTTCATTTAATTGAAATCTCGAGTCTCGAGTTTAATATCGATTATTTGAAATACATCGAAATTCGTAATTAAAATTAATATCCGTTACATTGTTAACGATAATAATAAACATTTGTTTTTATTATTAAATTAAAGTGAAGGTTGAAAAAATTAAAATATTATTACGATATTTAAAGTTTCGCGTAGTTTATATTCAACATAAATAAATTTATATAATTAATGGCTTTGTCCAATGATAATAATATATATATTTAATATATTTAATTGATATATAGAATAATATTTTATATATAAGTTAAAATTTTAAGTCATTAACATAAATTGTATGAAAGGAGATAGTAACTCAGGAATGAAAATAATTAAATAAGTCAAATTAAAATGTTATATAGAATAGTTTATTTAGTTCACACAGGTTATAATTGTATTTTTTTACAATAAAGAATTTTTATAAGAATATAAAAGCAAGACTAACAAAAAAAATTAAAAATCAAACAAGTAAAAAGTGTTGGTCAAATTTTTTGTATTCAATAAAATGTTTTTAATCGCTAAGTTTCATATAATTTATATTATATTTCTGTATATATGTATATATATAAGCTCATTTATATATCTCCTTTAAAGTTGTTTCTATAATATGTTCTTTTTAATAAAAGAGAGTTTTTATATATTCGAAGATGATCGTACATTAATTATTTTATAAAAATATATTATTATTTAATAATATATTACAGTTATTATCTAATAATAATATAATTTACAATGTAATTGTTATAAATATATAAATTATATCTATATAATTAATAACAATATTCAATACATTTATAAAAACATTATTTTATCTAGAAGTATATATAATGTATAACATAATTTACATATAACATTAACGATTTAAGTGTATAATTACCATAGAAGACGTTTAAGTCTTCTAGACAATAATACGATTTATATTGTCTTTTTTTTTATATTCCTTTCTTTTCATCTTTATCTTCATCTGTTGAAGAAGAAGAATCATAACGTCTTCTTATTTCTAGACATTTTCTTTTCCTTGGTGAACCATAAGCTTTTGGTGAAATATCTGATTTTAGTGAGCTACCTGCTTCTTGCAAGTCACCTATATCGATATCCGTGCTTTCACTTGAGGTTTCATATGATCTTTTTCTTAGCTTACTTGCTTCTTGTGGAATATCTAATTGATGTTTTGTCTTACCTCGAGAAACAACTGGTCTTGATTTTTCTTTTGGAACAGAGAAATAAGTTTTCTCGAATCCAATCTTTTTACTTTTATCTTCAAATGTTGTTGAAGTAGATTCATGACGTCTTTTTTTTGCTAAAAATTTTGTTTTCTTTTGTGAACTCTCTGTTTCTGATGAAATATCTGCTTCTTGTGAGCTCCCKTCTTTTTGTAAATCAACGATATCTGTGCTCTTAGTTGAGCTTTCGTGTAACCTTTTCCTTAACCTACGTTCTTCTTGTGGAACATTTAATTCATGTTTTGCCTTATCATGAGAAACATCCAATTCGATTTGTTCTTCTTGAAAAGATGTAGTAGATTCTGAAGATCCAGTATCTATTGAATGCAGATAATCCAACATATCTGACGTTTCTTCTCCACAGCTTTCTTCTGGTTGTGAACTATCTTCTTGTAGCAAACTACCTCCTTGTGAAAAACTATCTTCTTGTCGTGAAATAACTTCTTGTAGCGAATTATCTTCTTGTAGCAAACTACCTCCATGTGGCAAACTATCTTCTTGTAGCGAACTAACTTCATGTAGCGNACAAATAATAATCGTATTTTTTATAATAAAGAATTTTTATAAGAATATAAAAGCAAGACCAACGAGAAACTTTAAAAATCAAAGAAGTAAAAAATGTTGGTCGTATTTTGTTAATAATAGCATAAAAGATTTTTCCATTGTTAAAATATAAAATGGAACAAAAACAAAGTTATATTTAATACATGCAAGTTTTTAATCATTGATATCATATTATATTTTAAAATTATGATGTGTCATATTTATCCATATAAAATCTATATTTATCTAATATAATTTTTTTGTTCGTTAAGTTTTATATAATTTATATTATATTTCTATATATATATAAGCCACCATATATATGTCCTTTAAAGTTGTTTTTATAATTTTGTCTTTTTTAATAAAAGACAGTTTTTATATTCACAGATGATCGTATACATTAATTATCTCATCAAAATATATTATTATTTAATAATATATTATAGTTATTACATTATTATTATAAATCATATAGTAGTTGTTATAAATGTATAAATTATATCTATATAATTAGTGATAATATTAAATACATTTATATCAACAATAATTTATATAAAAATATATACAATATATAATATAATTTACATAATATATTAACGCTTTAAGTGTATAATTTACATAGAAGACATTTAAGTCTTCTGGACAATATTACGATTTATATTGTCTTTTTTTTTTTATATTCCTTTTTTTTTCATCTTTATCTTCACCCGTTGAAGAAGAAGAATCAGAACGTTTTTTAATTTTGTTTGGTGAACTATCTGTTTCTTGTGAACTATGTGTTTGATATGAGGAACCTGGATCGTCTAAACCAGCTAATTTGGTATCCGACATTTCATATGACCTTTTTCTTAACCTACCTGCCACTTGTGGAACATCTAATTGATGTTTTGTCTTACCAGGAGAAACAACTGGCTTTGATTGTTTTGTTGAAGAAGAGGTAGAAGGTTTTTCCAATCCAATCTTTTCACCTTTATCTTCATCTGTTGTTGAAGAAGAACCAGAAAGTTCTCGTATATTTAAACATTTTTTTTTCCTCTGTGAACTATCTGTTTCTGATGAACTATATGATTTTGGTGAGGTAGCTGGATTTGGTAAATCACCTATATTGTCATCCGTGCTTTCTTCCGAGCTTTCATATGATCTTTTCTTTAACATACTTGCCACTTGTGAAACATCAACTTTAGGTTCTGCTTGTTGTGAAAAATCTGTTTGTGGTGACTTATGAGAATCACTTGATGAAGTATCATATATTATTTCCCCATGATAAGAAACTAGTACTTCTGGAACATCTCTAGACGAAGAAGGTTCTTCCATTACAACTTCTAATGAAGTAGTTTCTTCTGTCGAAAGATGTGACCTTCCAGCCTCCTTTTTTTCTTCTGTATACATTCTTGCATATTTCTTTTTTAAAGACTTACTTCGGTGTCGTGGTCTAACCGAATCCGTCTCCATTAGTTCTTCATATTTCTTTTTCCTAGATCTACTTTGACGTTCTGAACGGACTGATTCTTGTGTTTTCCGGGCAGGAGAACTAACTGGTTTTGATTGTTCTTTTGGAACAGACGAAGAAGGTTCTGCCAATCCAACTTCTGATTGAGTAGTCACTTCTGATAAAGTATGTGACGTTTTAGCCTCTATTTTTTCTTCTGTATCCATTTCTTCATGTTTGTTTTTACTTATCATTTCTGGCTGTTGTGAAACATCTGAATCAGATGTTGAAGCAGCATGAAAACTAAATGGTTGTAATTGTTGTAGTGGAACCTCTTCAGCC